TTATATATTATGCCTAAAACCTTTTATCTTCAAGCATAAAGTACTATTTGTAAAATGACATTACTTAAGATTGGTTAATTTTTGACAATTCTTCTCGTAATATATGGAGAACCAAATGATCTATATTACATAAGTTATAATGCAATAAAAAGTCAATGACAACTTGTATACTTAAATAAATCATGTGCTAAGTGGAATTTCCAATGGAGATATAATTTAAAAATTGTTTGCACTCTTTAGCAGATATTCATGTACTTGTGACATCGAATTTTGGGATATCTAATAGTTGTTTATGGTTCGATTTGATATTGTCATCTTTTATTTTATATCTTTACTAATATTTTAAGTATTCTTAATTTTTAAATGCATTGAACTTTGTACCTAATAAAACCTATGATTTCAAAAGTAATAAAATGAATAATTGAGTTGGAAAGTCACTGTTGGCTTGCCTAACAGCGACATTGGGCATCATCACGGTCTATAATAAATTTTGGTTCGTGACACACTTATAGTATTGAACTAGTAAAAATTGCACAGGGCGCCCTATTTGGTCTCCCCTATTTAACTTATACCCATTTTTTAAAAAATTTTTTAACTTGTACCCATTTTTTAAATAACTTCAGCCCCCTTTCTCCTCCTCCTTCTCCTCCTTCGTTTTCTTCTTCTTTCTTCTGCTGTTATTGGTGCAGATTATTTTTTAGGTAAAATTTTTTTTACACTATTGGTGCATAGAAGTTAAAACTTTCTTTTGTACCTTTATATGATTAAAAAAGAAATTATTTTTCATAGTTCCTTTTGTGAGTGGAAACTATCAAGATACCATTGTTAAGTGACGACGTCTTTGTATTTTAATCGTATTACGGAGCTCATTATTTGTTCTCGCAATCAGGGATGATTAATTTGCATTTGTTTACTTCTTTTTTTTTGGGTTGTTTTGATAAATATTATTAAGGTGAAAGTTGTTTCATGTAAAGCTAAATTGAGTATGTTAGCACATAAAAATTCTTGAGCCCACTGCTGATATTTTACCCCAAAGATTTTAACAAACTAGCAAGTTGTTTGATGGATGGATCCCCAGCTTATTTGAGCAGATCCTATTTTAAAGCTAGCTTCCAAATAACTTCAGCTCTAGAGCTGAAGTTCGACAGTTACAAAATAAAAACTTCAGCTCTAGTTACAAAAACAAAAACTCAGTTACAAACAAAAACTTCAGTTCTAGAGCTGAAGTTCGATAATTACAAAACAAAAACTTCAGCTCTATAGCTGAAGCTTACAAACAAAAACTTCAGCTCTAGAGCTGAAGTTCGTCAGTTACAAACAAAAACTTCAGCTCTAGAGCTGAAGTTCGACAGTTACAAAACAAAAATTTCAGCTCTAGAGCTGAACTTCAGGCCCGACTACTAGAATGCTGAAGTTTTGCGTGATTGCTTATGCTATTTCAGCCTCGTATGCTAAAGTTATGCGAAAAAGCGGGTACGCTTGCACTTTTTTTTTCAAAGAGGGTACGAATTAAAACGTGACACAAAAAGCGGGTATAGATGCAAATGCCCACTGAACTACTCCCTGAATGTACCGACATCTACGCTGGCTAATACAATCATGACATTAGTTAAGTATATAAGTTGTCGTTGACTTTCTAGTAGTATTTCTACTTAATATTTAGTGCGTATTAATTTTATGAAATAAAGATCAATTGTCTCGTCCATATATAATGGTAGTGAGAAATTTATTTAAATTTTAAATGCATACATTTTATTTTCTTGAAATTCAATAGAATCAGTTTTTGAGCATAAAAATAAATGTAAATTGATCTATTAGCAAGAATGGATTGAAATGTTTCTTTCTTTTGATTTTTTTTATCGGTACAGGGTTACTAAAATACTATTTCTCTCTTAGCTAGGGAACTAATTTTTTAAACAAAATACTATTAATAATTAGCATTACTACTCTTGGAATATTCGCATTGGCAATTCCACTTTGCACGTGCATGATTTAATTAAATTACCTAATTGCTTGTTGACAATGTGAAAAATCGATATATATATATATATATATATATATATATATATATATTAATTACTTGTTATCAACTATATGCCATGAATATGTCACTAACTAATTAGTCAACTGTCTTCTTCATATAATTATTAGTGGAGCATCTATTTAAATTTAAAAAAGAAAAACAGAATTGAAATTCACATTCTTAAAATCATTTTTGAGCATCTACAAATAAAATATATTATGATCTATTAACAAGCATGGAAGCACAAGTATTTTAAATGTTTTCTGTTTTGGGAAAACATTTAAAACAGAATTGAAATTTATAGGGAATTTGCTTGAAAAAATATTTCTCCTTTAGGAGTCGTTTGGTAGGGATATTAGTTATGCTAGTATTAGTTATGCTGACATATTTCTTATCCATTGTTTGGTTTGATGTATTAAAGCATTGCACAATTTCTGAAAGAATTGCTTGTTTACAAAAATACCCTCAAAACCAGTCCATCACTCTAAAACATATGTTGAGAAATATATTTATATGAAAATGTTTTAAAAAATTATTTGATTTGTCTACCTATATTGTAATATATAACTAAATATTTATTTATAAAAAAGAAAATATGCTAAGTATTTATTTATTTACTAGAGATATAATTTTATTTCTCACTATTTAAATTATTTTAAACTTGCATTAATATTAGCATATTTTAATCAAGCATAATTTTTAAAGGACTATTTTGTCTTTAACTAAGCTAATGCATGCATTAAAACTCATTGCATTGCTAATACCATGATTTTCTATGCATTAGTTATGCATAGGATAATATTAAATAGGATGTATAACTAATGCTTACATAACTAATGCATAGGTTTAAAATATCTACCAAATAAGGTATTATTAATACATAAAGCTAATGCAAGCATTATTTTATCTAATGCATCCTACCAAACGACTGATAAGGAAGAGTATTTCATATTTTAGATTGGACAAATATAGTAAAAGAGAATGGGGGTTAGAAAAGGAAAAAAGAAATGAAAAAGGTGATGGGCTAATAGCCTGTTTGGCCAAGCTTATTTTTGGCCAAAAGTGCTTTCTTTTGGCCAAAAGCACTTTTGGCCTCAATTTGAGGTGTTTGGCCAAGCTTTTGGAAGGAAAAAAAGTGCTTTTGAGGAGAAGCAGAAGCAGTTTTGGAGAAGCAGAAAAAAGTAGTTTCTCTCCAAAAGCACTTTTTTGAGAAACACTTTTGAGAAAAATACACTTAGAAGTAGTTTTTTAAAGTTTGGCCAAACACTAATTGTTGCTCAGAAGTGTTTTTCAAACTAATTAGCCAAACACAAACTGCTTCTCACCAAAAGTACTTTTGAGAAAAACACTTTTGAAAAAATACACTTCTCAAAATAAGCTGATTTTTGCAGCTTGGCCAAACGGGCTATAAGTCAGTCCAAATACCTGTAAAACATTGGAAAACGTGTGACACGCCATGGTCTCGTGGCGTACAAAGTGTAGAGCACACCTAGGAAGCCAAGTACATAAACCAGGTCCAACTCCATGCTGGAATTGGACCTGGTTTTCGTGTTGGCTTCTCGGGTGTGCTCTTAACTTTGTATGTAAAGAAGTCATAGCGTGTAGCGTATTTTTCGGTGCTTGGACGACATCTATGACTAAGTTATGAGCCCGTTTGGATTAGTTGATTTAGAATAGCTAATAAGCATTAGGTGTTGAAAAGTAATTTTAAGTGTTAAAATTGATTTAAAAAATATGCAGTTACGTGTTTGGATAGAAGTGCTGAAATTAATAATAAGTAGCTGAAGAACTGGGTATACAAAGATTTTTGTTTTAAAAAGAAGTATTTTAGGGATTGAATAGTAAATATTTTGGTCAAACTTAAAGTGCTTATAAGCTGAAATTTGATAAGTTGGGGGGATCAACTTATGGCTTTTGGCTTATTTTTGGCTTATGAGCACTTAATTTATACTTTTAATTTTACCAAACGCGTAGATAAGCCAAAAAGTATTTATAAACCAGTTTGACCAGCTTATAAGCTTAACCAAACACCCTCTATGTGCTATAAGGACTCTTCTGGTCGACACGTAAGTTATGCAGAAATCATAATACAAGAATTGTAATATAGAGATTGGTTCTTGTCAAATGTTTGGTTCATTGTATTAAAAGTTAGATATAGTGTATGCATATTTGAAAACTTGTGTTCCAAAGGATAGGAGGGCTTTTTTGTCCTTTTGGTTGTTTAATCCACATATTACTCATATACAAATTATTATTCCACATCCTTTCTCTCGCATTTATAGTACGATTGCACATAAATCAAAAAAAAAATGGAGTTTGGAGAAATTATTTTTTCTTTTCAACCCCGAAAGTAAAATGGATGGTATATATAAACTATAACTTGATAACTATGAATAAATTTGAATCTTTTGTTTCGTCTACGGGGCTCCACTATGACCAGGGGTGTACGCAGAATATTTTGTAAGCGGTATCGATATTTAAAGAAGTGATTAAATAAATGATCATTATATTATTGTTTTAAAATAAATTGCAGAGGAGGATGAATAGTTTTTAAAAATTAGGATTTCAAGTATGCTGAAATAATTCTTGAACAAACAACGCACTAATTTTCACAATAAAACTTAAAAGCGTGCACATTATATATAGAATTGAGTATCATCCCTTAACCTCTCCTATATGAAAGAAGCGCTTGACCAGTGAACTAAGCATGTGTGTTTGTTCAGCAATATTAATTTAGAATATATATATTCGAATAAGATGTTCTTGCATGTAATTTATCTGTATATTTTATGAAATTTTTCGATAATGCGGTGTCATCGATACCGCTTGACACTAGGTAGATCCGCCCCTGACTATGGCAAATGTCAGAGCCAATTTGGACAAACTGTCAGAGTGAGTGATAAATGTGGGATGAAATTAACGATATGGACCTTTTATGGTTTGATATATAAACAAAGAGCAAATATAAGACAAATTAAACACTTTGAAAAGTCATTCACTTGACTTTTTCTTTATTCATACAAAACATAAAATACAAGGAAGCAAGAAAAGATGAAGGAAACACCACAATATAATAAGGGATTTAATTTTATTTGTGGGGATTTTTCTTTATTTTGGGCATTAATATAATTGTACTACCAGAAGCTACAACTCTTGAAACCTTCAGGGCCATGGCATGAACAACAAAGAGCGCAATCACTGCATTCTTTGTCTTCTGTACAAGGCCTATAGCAAGTAAAAATATAATCATCGACTTGTGGAAGTAGTCTCTTCTTGAGTCCTGAAAGACCATGATCAATATCACGTGCAGCTACTCCTTGAATCTCTGAGAACCACGACAAGTTGACTGAAAAAAATTTACCGTTATAACAATCAAATAAAATTACGATTAATATGACATAAAATTCACATTTCAAATGTCATGAATAAAGCAAATTATCATGTATATGCAGTCAGACTTCTCTATAACATCATACTTATATAATAGTTATTCATTATAAAATCACCCTCCACTTCCAACCAAGAGGTTGTGAGTTCGAGTCACCCCAAGAGCAAGGTGGGAAGTTATTGGAGGGAGGGATGCCGAGGGTCTATCGGAAACAGTCTCTCTACCCCAGGGTAGGGGTAAGGTCTGCGTACATACTAACCTCCCCAGACCCCACTAGTGGGATTATACTGGGTTGTTGTTGTTATTGTTGTATAAAAGCCGAGTTTTTCTTGGAACCGAATATTATATTATGTTAAAATATATGTCCTTTATAACGGTATTTTACTATAGCAGCCGAAAAATTTCGCAACAAACGAAGTTGTTATAGAGATATTTAACGATAAATGAAATATGCATGTAGTCACAATATGTAGCTACGTGTGAGATAGAGATAGAGGAGGAAAGAGATGAATACTAACTAATTGTTGCCATGAGAAGAAAAACGAAAAAGTAATTAATCTTAAGCAATGCCATAATAGAGAGTAGATTTCGTGCTTTCGCTAAATTTTTTGTGTGTGGGCATCTTATTGATTTTCAAGGGTCGTAATTTATAAGCTTCTCTACGAAAGAACTGGATCTACAACATGTATTATATTAATTTATTTAACTTTAATATTACGTTTAGCCTATGCTGGCCAACCTTTTTAAATAATGCTATTTGCAATTTTAATTCTTTTCTTTCTGCATTTCCCCAAAACAGAATAGTTGAAGATGCCCGAAAACAACTCTTAGGTCAATTAAGGATAAAATATTGAAACTTTACGGCTAACTACAACAACAACAACGATTCAGTATAATCCCACAAATGGGGTCTGGGGAGGGTAATATGTACGTAGACCTTACCTCTACCCTGAAGGGTAGAGAGGCTGTTTCCAGGAGACCCTCGGCTCAAAAAAGCAATAGGAGATGATATATTAGTACCATAAAAATGCGTAATAAAAATAACAACAATATATAAGAGATATGAAATATGAAATACAGAATACGAAATACGAAATACGAAATAGATGACTGGTATAGGCTAACTACAAGTTACTGGAATTAATAGAAATTCATTGACCTAAATAGAATATTTTCAATTTGACTTTATTCAAGAAGTAAGATCGAGACATTTTGACCAAGAAGTTATGTGCAGTAAATTTCAACTAAAATCATATGTATTAGTTTTTTTTTGCACGTTTGGTATTCATTAAACTAATTGTCTGATCATATTGTTTTTTTATTTTTTGCGTTACTCTTTTCATTGGCCAACATTTGGCCTTAAATTTAAACTATTATTAAGTTACATTTTGAAATAACTTTTTCAAAAACTTTTTTTAAATTAACTTCAAAAACTTTTTCATTTCAAAATGGCAAGATAGTTCGTTAAAAACATTTAATCAAGACTATTATTTCTTGATTGTGGAGTGTGTATATGCACATTAGAAACACATATATTTTAGAATAAAATTGTAAATACCATCGACTATGCCATGAACGGTGGATCTTGCTAGTTTGTCACATGCACTAATAATCAACTATTCCATGAATAAAAATTCCAACGAGAATTGTGGTGGAATAGTAAATATTCCTTCATTCTTAATGTAAGTAACCAACACCGGGTGAAAAATCTGAAAAAAACAAAAAAAAAACTATTCCATAAATGTGCCGCCGACTATTTGCTGAGTAGTGGTGTCAAATTTAACTCATAAATGTATAAGCCACCAATCCATCCAAAATGTTAATCATGTCTACGGACATAACTCGATTTAACTCGTCCAAATATTACCTAGCTCACTCATTTGACACCCTTAGCTCTAAACATGTCATATGAGAGATCAATAGTATAATGTTTTATCGCATGCATTTGTAATCAACATTGTTTTAAAAGACTTCTTTTGGGCGAGTCCTGGGGCGAGGTGTACCAAAATTGCCCCGAGGCGATGGTGGGGGGACGAAAGTCTCAAGAGGCGTACGTCCAGCAATTCGGGGTGTACACCCGAGTGTTGAGACAAGTTTTTTCAGTAAGGTGTAAGCTCAAGAGGCTTTTTCAAATTAAAATAAAACTTGTTGAATAAGTCCTTAATATAATACCCAAATCTCAAAAGTTAACTTGTAATTATTCAAAAGTTTTAAAAGAGAATTAAAGCATTAAATTTAAAACTCAAGACCTTTTTTATTGCTAGAAGTCCAAATTTGTGGTTTTTCGGACTTTTTATCTTGTCCGCTAGTCTGTTACTATCTCCCAAAAGCAACAAAAAGTAAAAAAAAAATATAAAAAAAAAATCACAAACACAAAGAACGCTCCATTCTCTTCCAAAGCAGCAAGTTCAGAGTTCAAATTATAGGTTAGTCATCTTTTTGTTCTTCCATGTATAAAACTTTATTCTTTTTCACTCAAATTATTTGTAATTGTAAGTAGCATATAATAGATTATTTTGACTAAGTTTTTGTGGGGATGAAACACATCTCTATATATATTTCAATTATTTATATCTTTCTTTAATTTTTATCAATCTTACCTATTTAAAAGTATTTATTGTAATTATATTATTTTATAAAAATATTAAAAATTAAATACTTACGCCTCGCTGAACCATATGTAAAAGTAAAACGCCTCGCCTTACGTCCACGCAATTTTTAACACTGGTAATCAACTATGCCATGAATTTGAAATTTAGTTAGAAATAATACATTTCAATTAAAATCTCTTATTGTATTGAAAATTAGTAGTTTTGTTATATCGACTAAAATGTTCATGGGATTAAGAATTTGAGCTAGACATGGGATTAAGATCATAGTCATAATTTAAGTTAGTCATATCATTCTTCTTATACCAAACATGGAAAGCATTAGAATGATAGAACCTAGTCCAACTTGACAATGATCAATATTAACACTTGAGCAATCTCAAAAGTCGAATGTTAGTTTTTAATGTGAAAATGGCCAAATAACTAAAAAATATATTTGTATTGGGCATATGCATAATGAAGAAAGTATATTTTAATACAAGTAATAAATCTAAATAATTATTAAATATTACGTCTAGCCTAGGTTGGCCAACGTTTTTAAATAATACAATTTGTAATTTTGAATTCTTTTCTTACTACATATCCCAAAAAAGAATAATTGAAGATGCCCGAAAATAACTCTTAGGTCAATTTAGGATAAAATATTGAAACATCATGGATAACAACAAGTAATGGAATTAATAGAGAAATTCATTGACCTTAATAGAATATTGTCAATGTGACTTGATTCAAAAAGTAAGATTGAGACATTTTGACCAAGAAGTTATGCGCAGTAAATTTGTATTCAGTAATTAACTATCTGATCTTATTATTATTTTTCTTATTAGTTTTTTTTTTGGCCTTTTGGATGACTTCATTGGCCCAACTTTTGGCCTTAAATATAAGATATATTAAGTTACATTCTGAAATAAAATTAGATATTCAAAAGTCATATAGAAGTAATAACTTGAAAACTTTTCATTTCAAAATGGCAAGATAATTCGTTAAAAACATTTAATCGAAGATTTGTTTTTAATTAGATACCCATATATTTTAGAATAAAATAGTAAATACCATCGACTATGAGCCCATTTGACTTAGCTGAGTCAGAGTAGTTGATAAGCATTAGGTGTTGAAAAGCACTTTTAAGTGCTGAAACTAATTTAAAAAATAAACAGTTACGTGTTTGGATAAATGTGATGAAATTAATAATATGCAGCTGAAGAACTGGGTATATGAAGAGTTTTGTTTTAAAAAGAAGTATTTTAGGGATAGAATAGTAAATATTTTGGTCAAATTTAAAGTGCTTATAAGCTGAAATTTGATAAGTTGGGGGAGACCAACTTATGGCTTTTGGCTTATAAGTACTTAACTTATAAACACTTTTAATTTTATCAAACGTGTAGATAAGCCAAAAAGTACTTATAAGCCAGTTTGACCAGCTTATAAGCTTAGCCAAACACCCTCTATGCCACGAACGGTGGATCTTGCTAATTTGTCACATGTACTAAAAAAATTAGCCATCGGTGTTTAGCATTATCAGCATCTCAATGTCAACGCACCATCTTATTTCGCTTTACATAATTGTAACTTGTACGGATTAGAGTATTGTATGGGTCAAAATCTGACCGAAGAAATTCGGTACGAAGAGGTGATTGTCATGAGAATTGTAACTCATTATAGGCAGCTTGGCCGAGATCGATCAGTGATTAACAAGAACGAGCTGTTGAGTGGCTCATTAGGGCCGAGGTCGAGTAGCAGGAGCAGAAATAACGGCTAGTATAGCTTTGGAACTTTTAAAGGAAATATTTCATTGAATATTCCTTTTGTTGTACCTTTTAGAGTTCTTTGGGAGTATCCCATATATATAGTAGGAGATATAAGGCAAAAGACAGGTAATATTCCATTTGATAAGAACACTCTTGAAAAGTAAGCTCTCCAGATAAATACAAAGAACAACTTTCTGAGAGAGAGATTCGATCCTTACATTCAATCTATTATCATTTCCACCATATCCGAGAAAATGTATAATATTCTCTCATATTCTTGTCATTTATCATTGTCAGAGGAAGTAACCATTCACCTCTTTCATTATTGGGTGAATCTTCTTCCTTATTTACTTTTGGTGCCATTTATTGTTATTTATTACTTGCTCTTACCACATTAATAACAACAATATTTATTATGTATTGTATTAAATTCACCTCAATGAGGTCCCATGTTATCCATAAAAACTGATTTTAGATCTAGGGATATTATCTTTAACTAGGATTAATCCCTTATCCTTTTATTTAATTATTTTAACAAAGAGTTTCATACTTTTTGGTCAAATAGTTTGGCGTCGTCTGTGGGGATTTTCTACTTAAAATTTTAGTTTCTTCTAGATCTAAAAAAAATGCAATAACCCTACACTTGTGTACACAAATCTAATATGGCAGGCAACGGAGAGGAAAAGAGGAAAGCAATAGCCGACCTCACCACCAACCTCATTCACACCATCAACGAAGTCAATGAAACAGAGGGTGAAGATATAACATCAAATACCTCTCCCAGGCGAAACAGCTTGCCCCTTTCTCACGGCAGCATCACAGCCTCACACGGTAAAAGGGCCTCTACGTCCACAACGGAAGAGGCACCATCGGCAGCAAAGAAGCTGCTCGAGGCATGGTTGACAAACACGCTGACCAGAATTCTTGACAAGCCCGCTCAAAGGCCGAACAAAGAAGATGCAAGAGTTGCGTCAGCGATATACGAGCAACACACCCCCTTGTAACAGGTATTACTCACAATGTTAGCGATGCAGGTAACGACACCCTCACATCCATTCTGAGTAAAATGGAGGAGATGGAGAACGAGAACAAAATACTCCGCGACCAAATGAAAGAGCATCAAGAAAGGGTAGACAAATTACCGGGCACCCCAAAACTCCTACCAAAAAGAGACGTCGATCGATTTGTTGAGCAGCAGTACAGCGACGAAGTTGCACCACACGCAATACCCAAAAACTTCAAAATGCCGCCATACCTGAAAAT